GTCGGGCCGGACGGCCAGGGCGGCAGGGAGGCGGTGCTCTCGGGCTGCAGGCGGACGTGGTCCGTGAGCGGCGCTAGGGCGCCCGGGCAGGCGCCTCCCCAGCGCCGGCGCCCATTTTGCCCGCCTGCTGAGGAGAGTCGTGCGCGGCCTACACGCTTCGGGGACAGCCCTTTGAGGCGACAGCGCCGCGAACACCGGCCTCTTGAGCCAGGGCAGGGGAACGCAATTTTGAAAGTCGGTCCTCAGACAGTTAAGGTTTTGTTTTCTTTTGTTTTATTTCCAAGTCACAGCCCCTGAATCTTGTACAACTCTCCCTGGACCACTTCCGGTTGCCGGCCGGCGCGTCGTAACTTCGGTTCGAGTGACCTCGGCCCGGGATGCCCCTCAGCTCGCCCGGGGCTCACGTCGCGATCTCAGCTTGAGTGGCGCGGGGTGGGGTACCTGGAAGTTTTAGCCTAGCTGTTCTGGAGGCGGATTAATTAGCCCAAGAACCATTATATTCATGTGAGTAACCTTTTGCAGGGACAGTGCTGTACTGTGTCTGAAAAAGTATCACTCTTAAGCTTGGCTGCGGCTACTTCTGCAAAGGCTTTTGGGGACCTATTTGTTTGACACAGGGAAGGGGAGTTGGGGGACTTCAGTTTTGCTCACGTGCGGATGTATCACATCAGATATCCAGAATACAAGTGTCCTCGGCTCTCCTTGTCTTGGTGCTATCAGACATGATGAAATGATAAAAGTAATTTTATTTCGAGATACGTCAAACGTGCCAAGTGTAAAAGTACAGATCTTATGGCTCACAAGTTTAGGAATTACACGTGGATTTTCGGAGCGATTATAAATCAAAGAAAAATATATGCCGTGCCGCCTCCACAGCCCATCAGTGTTTATGTTTCTTTGGTTTGTTTTTCTATTCCCTGCGTAGTTTTAAAGCCGGGCAGATATGGCAGTACTGGAAAGGGAACATTCCCAAGGTGCTACTTTAAGAGGTGTTGATGCTTTGCTCTTTTCTCCCAAGTCAGTTCCAATCCAAGTCTCACAAATAGAGCCCCCGTCCAGCGGAACTATCTGTACATGCCAGCAACCTCCGTATTTACCTAATGCTTGAGAATCACATGGCACATCTTTCTATGATTAATTTTGATAACAATGAAGGTTGGAAAAATTTCAAGTGTGCAATTACATTGAACCCACCTAAATTTTCTCTTAACTTTCCAGTTTATGTCATATATTATTTTCAGTTACTGTTTGTGGCTAGTATGCCCTGCCCTAATGGGGCAGGAATGGCTGTTCTCATTATTGTTTGGTGATGGGATATTTTGAGTTTATAAAGTGCCTTTAGGCACCTTCAAGAAGAAAGACACTTTTTGTTTGTTGTTGGTCTTAGTCAATCTCATATTCCAGAATGACGTTCACTAACTTTTATAATGCTCATGGCTGCCTTTTACAGCTCCAAACATTTAATTGGAGTAGGGGAAAAAAAACTATTAAGTTTTATAGCAAGCTTATTATGGGCTACACATTCTACTAAGAATTTATATTCCTGATGTATGTAAATTGCCCCAATTCGAATCAGGCTCTGCAACTTCCTAGCTGTGTGACCTTCAGCAAGTTACCTAACTTATCTGTGCCTCACTTAAGTGGGGATAATAATAATAATGCCTACCTTATAGCACCCTATGAAGATTGTGAATATTTAATGAGTCAATATATGCAAACATATGTAAAGCACATGGGAACTGTTAAATAAGTGCTGACTATTATGATTAATATGTTCTATAATTCTTATTTTACAACTCAGGAGACTAAGGTGGAGAGAGGTTAACTTGTCTAAGGTCACAACGCTAGTAAGCAGCAGAATCAGGATTGATACACAGGCCAGGCTGATTCTAGGGCCTGTGTTCTTGTTAATTTCATCCATTTATTGTAATTGGATGAGTTTATTAATTGACTTCAAATAAAATAAGTGTATTCAACTGATCAATCTTTAAAAACTGGTCAAACACCTGGAAATTAATGCAAATCATATTTTTTTTTAAAAAAAGCCATAAAAGAATTCATTTTGTAAAGGAAAAATGGTGATTTTACTTAGATTACTACCTAAGGAAACCCTTCTATGTTACGCGTCATCCATTCAGAATCTGATTTACAAAATGCCTTACTAAGAAATAGTGTGTCTAGGCCAGTGTGGTCTCTGGCCAGGGCATAAAGGTGATCCCCATGGGAACAATCTCTTTTAATGGATGATAAAGCTATAAAATTATCTAAACAGTTTTTAAATCCATTTGCACTTGGCAGTATTCCTTAAGTTGAGTTGCACAGGTTTATAGTCTGTGTATTGTATTGCACCTTGTATTTAAGTTTATCTTGAGGTTTTAGGAGATTCATCTTAGTTCAAGGAGTCCGGAATTTTGTGAACAAGTGTTATGTGCAAAAAAACAAACAAAAACTCTAGTCAAATAAATTTGGGAAATGTTAAACAACACAAAGTTTCTTTACTGCATAATTTACCAGAGCTTTTAATATGCTAATGTGCTTTATGAGTCTCCAAAATTCCCACACTTATTTGACCAAGGAAAATGTTGAGAGCAAGTGGTCTAAGAATCACATTTAGGGACATGTTGTTCCATTGATACAACCTGTGATTTTTAAGGCTTTGATCTGAATCCCTCTCACTCAGCCTTTGCTTTTCTCTATTGAAATGTTGTTGGTTCATGCTCATATGGAGGTTCTCTTTCCCTTGATCACTGCAGTGGCCTTTCTCTGGGCCTTTATAGTCTCCGAATGGTAGCACACCTAAGTCCAGGATAATGTGCTGAGGGTTGTTTCCAGGCTCATCCTGCTGATGCCCAACATGTTGACTTTCGGGTCGCAGCAGAACATCACACTGCCTTTCTTCTGAGAATATTTTGTAGTGACTCACAGGCCTCTTTGTAGTGACTCATAGTAACTCAGACCGTCATCTCCAATCTTTTTGCCCTCTAATTTCACTGTAATTATTTCCTTTTAATGTCAGTATAATCAATAAAATTTCATTTATCAATCAAAACAAATTTAAATGTCAGCATGTTGGTTGTCGCTACAATCTATCTATGAAGTTGAGGTGGTCCTGAAACCCTTAATACTTGGTTTCTACTTTTTAAAAAATTATTGGCCACATTTATGTCTTTTGTGCTCGAAATTCAGGCTTCAATATATTTTATTTTGACATTAGTATTTCCTGGGTTTTTGTTTGTATCTCTCCTGCTAAATAGAAATATATATATTACATAGCTAGAGGCTTATACGTAGAGAATCTATCTCTATCCATGTATATGTGATCAATCATAACTGCCACTCTGGCCTTCCTTTTGTTTCCTCTCCCTACCCACTATACATATCCACCTGCTCACAGAAACAATGTTTGACTAGTATTTGAGACTTGGGGTGCTCAAAACTGGATCATTCCTTCTATTAAGTGGCTTACAATACTGTATTTTGGGAGAGACAAGACTTGTGAAATAAGTAGAGCAAATATGCAAGGCAATTAATTAGGGGCCAAATAAATATGCACTTTAGTTTAGACATAATGGCACAGTAGTCATAAAAGGCAAGAATTTTCTAAAGTTTTCATAGAGGAGGCAGGCACTTGGACTCTATAATAGTACTAAGATAGGTAGGGGGACCTGGGAGGCATTTTAGGCTAGTGGAAAGCAAGAGCAAAGGGTATGGAGCAAGAAATGAGCCTGGCATTTGAGGAAAGTTTGTATCAAATGCAGTGGTGGTGGTGCTTGCTGGAACTGGTGACAGATAGGATGTAGCAACTGAAAAAGAGGAAGAAATGCAAGATAACTCAGTTTTGAGTCTGCGGGATCAGGAGAGATGGTGTTGCCATTGAGAGAAACTGGGATTTGGTTGAGGAGAAAGGGTTTCATCTTAGATGAGTTTGAAATGAGAGAGCACATTCCTGTGAAAACTAAGACTGGAGCTTATGCCAGGCTCAGAGTCAGTTCCACTCAGAGTACAATGAGTGAAGCAACTGTGATGCTCTTAAATTATTCACTGAAATTTCTTAAATCTATAAAGGTATTTTCTACTTTCGTTTTAGGGAAGATAAACTAACAGTGTTAACAAAAAACAAATCAGACTCAGATTATTGTCCTTGAAAAGAGGGCTTGGTTTAATTCAATTAGTTCTTATTTCTGGCTTTTTCCAAGTATGCATCATACTGAGTTCTGGCATCTGGTTTGTTTTTGACAATCTCACACTTGGAGGGCTCTAACAACCTCCCAAGCTGTGCTGCATTTCCTTTGTCACCTAATGGGAACAGGAGGCCTTTGTTTTGTTGGACACATCCCCCAATGCCATATCCGTGCTCTGCCAAAGGATACGGTGAAACTGCATGGTGATGCCATGAGTGGGTCCAAAAGTTTCATTCCTACAAAATGCACATCAAGTTATTGTAAGGTCCTGAAATGAGATAGGAGCTGGTCAGAGGATCATTATGGAGAGTGTGCGCTACCATCCAAATGCTCTGGGAGGTAGGGGAGAGGGGCTTTTCCACCTTCCGAGTTGGGAAATCAAAATTTAAACCTATGCTTCTATGGGAAAATGGGCTCCTGTAACATCCTGCTGCGTTATTAAAATGAAACAAGGACCTAAATGAATAACTGTTGTTCACTCTCAGCTCCTAATCACTATGATCCTCTTGTAGCTCAGAAATTCCATGAAGCTACCTTAAATATTTTTTTCTAATATGAAAATCCCCTTTTGGAAATGCCCGGCTGTTGTATGTAACCTTTTTAAATAAACTGGATAAATAGGTTCTTTGTCCTTAAACAAACTTTTAATTTCAATTTAGAAGGCCACGCACATTATTTGACCTTCAGAATGTTACCTTTTTGGGCCGGCCTGTGGCTCACTTGGGAGAGTGCGGTGCTGATAACACCAAGGCCACGGGTTCAGATCCCATATACGGATGGCCGGTTTGCTCCATGGGTGAGCGTGGTGCTGACAACACCAAGTCAAGGGTTAAGATCCCCTTACCGGTCATCTTTTAAAAAAAAAAAAAGGAATGTTACCTTTTAAAATGGAAACTGCTTGGAAGTGACTTTTACCTGGGAAATATGGCATGCATGTGTCTCTTATATTGTCTTCCTGCCAAAATAAGTGTGTCTTTAGGCACGCTCTAGTGCATATTCTATTGCTAACTACATTTTGCCAGACACTGCTTTGTGAATGCAAATAATGTGAGACCACTGCCCAGCTTCCTGTAGTGCTAGTCCTACATTTCCACAGAACTCCTCACCTAGCCAATTCTTGAGTGCCTTTCAGTCAACAGTTAACATTACCTGAGGCTCTGCCTGAGTGTCACTTCAGTTATCTTACAGAAAGCTTTGGATGTCTTTGGTTCTATTTAGGATGTACAAATAGACATATATAAAGTTTGATTCTGATTGGTGGTTGCTAGTACAAGGTCACCTTGCTCACTGGTGAGTTCATTCAAACCCAAAAAAGTCACACCTGTGTCCTGTGCGCGGGTGCTGCAGGCTTAGGTGGAGAAAAGCAGGGCTAGAATTGGAACCCAAAGCCCAGAATGGCAGGAGAGGATGTGGGGGCTCCACCCGATCACCTCTGGGTTCACCAAGAGGGTATCTACCGCGACGAATACCAGCGCACGTGGGTGGCCGTCCTGGAAGAGGTAACTCTTTACATTTTGCTTATTTCTTTGATTTTGTCTTCAAGTAACTTGGTTTCTATCCAGCCTTATATTCTGAAGTGTTTGGTTTTATTTTTGATCGTTCCTTTCCATTAGGAGACGAATTTCCTGAGGGCACGAGTCCAGCAAGTTCAGGTTCCCTTAGGTGACGCAGCTAGGCCAAGTCACCTTCTTACCTCCCAGCTACCTCTCATGTGGCAACTCTACCCAGAGGAGCGCTACATGGATAACAACTCTCGCTTGTGGCAGATACAGCATCATTTAATGGTACACATGCTGCTTAATCGTTTTCCATTGTATCGGGACTCTTATAACAGAGTACTCTATAAACTTTTCTTTTTCTGACAGGTCAGGGGAGTACAGGAGCTGTTGCTTAAGCTTTTGCCTGATGATTAACCTGGTATGTATTTCTATTTCTCCCTTCTCCCCCCTTCTTCATTTTCACTGTATTCAGTTGTGGTGATTTTAATGATTTTTTTTTTCCAGGTGCTGGGATTCTAGGAAGATATGCTCCTTTGTTCAGTATATGGCAATCACTTCATCCACCACTGAAGTGCACCCACCCTTGGGCCTGGGGGGAGGGAGTGGGTTGAAAAACTGCTCAAGAACACAGAAGTTTAGGAAGGGTCATGAAGAATACTGCAAGTGAAACTGCAGAGAGAGGGTTACACAGGCAGAAAGTGAGTCAACAAAAGCACTTAGTCAGGATAAGTAAGTTGAAATTGACTCCTTTGGAAATTGCCATAGAACCTTTAATGGACATCATCGGCTGGAACTGGGATCTGATGAATCCCACAAAAGTCAGCACCTGCTACAGAACAGATGCCCTGATCACCAAGGACTTGGTACTGATTTAGAGAGAAGAGAGCAGCTCCTAGCAGCATCAACATCTATTTGTCGCTTATTTGCCCTGCAGCAATTCACCTGCCTTTCCTTCTCTCCCATCCTGTAAATATCCTGGGTTTTGCTCCAGTGTTTCCCATCCCAGTACTGACCTAATTTGGATTTACTGATAACTTAGGGGGCTTTGGAAAAAAAAAAATTAGTTGTATTGATGAAATTAGCTACAAAGGCTCCTGGGCCTTCTTTTCTTCCTGAAATAGTTTTTAGATTATTAGAAGTTGCTGATCAAAATTGTGGGCACTTAAATTCATCCTCTGGTTACATTTATTTCAGATAATATGGTTACTATAAGAGCTCCAAAAACAAAACAATTTTAGCTGCATAACTAGCACCTTTCTCAGGAATAGCACCAAATATTGATCCTAGGAAAGCATTTACTACCTGTAAAGAATTTCCTGAGTAATAACAGTTTATATACATTAAAAGTAAGGTTTTACTTTTTTTAAAACGTGGGAATAATAGCTACCATGTATTGAGTGAGTCCTTACTGCCTTTCAGGCAGTATTCTGTGTACTTTATATACTTTATCACATTTAATCCTTTCATCAATGCTTTGAGGTAGGTATGATTCCCATTTTACACACCAGTAATAAGGGAAAAAGCCTCAAGGAGTTTAATCATTTACCAAGGGTTTCTTCTGTGACTGATAAAGCTGGGCAGTGAGCCAGTCCTGTCAGGCCTGTGACATGGGTTCCTCAAGCCATATTTACAATATTCAAGAAGAGTCGATTGAATTCAAGGTTTTGTTTCATGTAAAGCTATTTGTATCTTTTAAACGTAATGAAATGGATAATATAAAAATACAGTTGATTCATCCTATAAATGGGGAGCACTTTTAGTATAATTATTTTCCAGCAATTGTAATGTCATACTACTTGTCTCAAGAAAATTCCATATAGAGGAACTTTAAAATCTTTATGGAAAAAAATAAAAAAAATCTTTTGTTTTGTTTTAGTGTTCTGGATATGCTGCAGAAGGATCCGTGCCAGAAACAAGCCTGTGAGATACAGAAATGTTTACAAGGTAGTATGTAAAATGCTTTATATTTTTCGACTTTGTGAACTATGAGACTAATTATTCTCTTATGAGCAATCTATATTAACTCTTCTCAGAATGTAACATTTCTGTAATTAACTTATCCTGAAGATTTTCCTTATTGTATCATCAAAGATATAGAGAAAATAAAAAGTGATAGGATCTAAGGTAGATGTTCTCAATCCAGGTTGTACATCAGAATCACCTGGAAAGCTCTGAAAACATGCCTAGAACAATTGCTAGGGTCTGGGCTGGAATCAGTCTAGAAAGCTAACCAGGTGATTTTAATGTTCAGCCAGGGTTGAGAATTACTGAGCTAAGTCCTTTTTTTAAAAAAGACTAGTTTTAAATGGGTTGATTATCCTCACTGTGGCTGACAACTCACATTTTAAAAGTAATCTGGTAGAAGTGGGTTTGAAAATACAGTTGGAACTCAGGCTGCCAAAGTCAGCAACTACTTCTTAAAGGCAAAAGTGAATTTCAGCTAGAGCATGTTTGCTGTGATTTGTCCATTTGGCTTTAAATCAGCTGCCGCTAAGTTGGACCAGATGTTAGAGATTTTTTTAAATCAGAAAACTGTTATCGCCAGAAGAGCAAACAGAAAAAGCTACAAGGCTATGGAATTTGAAAATTGGCTTTTTTGATAATTTTTCCCATTATTAAAGTAATAAAGATGGATGCTCATGAAAATACAGAAAGGAGCAAAGGAAAAATGTTCAAAGTTCCCTCAAAGACCCATCACCAGAAAAAATCCTTGTGTATCTCCTTTGATTTTTAATATTCATTCTTGGACTTTTCATTTTTTGAAGTAAGCAATATTTTATAAAATCTTTTAGATTAAAATGTTTAAGTATGATGATGCCGTTTCAGACATAGTTTCCTTCCCTTCTTCCAACTTTAAGAGAAAGGAAAAATGTTTTTCATAATTTCTTCTCCCAAATAAATTGTTACCTGATTTGAAATAGCAACCCATGGCTAAGGGAGAACAAGAATCAAGTTGAAAGGAGCTGGTTACACTCCCTCAGTACAGTGTGGGAGGATTGAGAGCTGGAAAGACTAAAAGAGTTAAGCACTCGCTAGATGACAAGCACTATTTCGAGGGCTTTACACAAATGAAATCATTTAATCCTTTCATCCATGAGGCAGATATTACTATGACCCTATTTTATAGATGGGGAAACAGACACAGAAGTTATGTAACTTGCCCAGGGTCACATAACTAGTAAAGGGTACAGTGAGGATTTAAGCCCCTCTTGGTTTGACTCCAAGCCTGACTCACCCACCTTGCTATACTGTCTTTCTAGTCAGAATCATCTTTCATATCTCAGGCTAACTCCTATGCACTGCATTTTAGTACTGGGGGTCTTGGATCAAGTGCAGCTGACCTAGAACCTTTAGGTCAAGTCCTCCTTAACTTAGCATCTATATACGGATCTGCAAATGTCTTCTCTAAAGAGCCAAACAGGCAATATTTTAGGCTTTGGAGGCACTAAGGTCTTTGTAGTAGAGAGAGAGAGAGAGAGAGAGAGAGAGAGAGAGAGAGAGAGAGAGAGTGTGTTTGTGTGTTTACAACCCTTTAAAAATCTAAAAACCATTCTTAGTTCCAATCTGTTTAAAAAATGGGGGGAGGGGAGCAGGCAAATTTGACCGGCAGACTGCAGATTGCCAACTCCTGATGCACAGACTTGGTAGGGGAGGTCCAGCAACTAGCTTAAACTGTCTGCAAAATAATGTGTGGGCTTTGTGCATTTTTCTAATTCATCAAACTACCAAAAAAATTAGTGACCAATAATGATGCTAAAAACCACTGCCCTAGAAAAATACACATAAGCTATTAATTTGACCTTAAAAGAAAAGGTAATTATATATTAAAATAACTTTCAACCACTTTGAAAAATCATACTTTTCTTCCTAATTAACCTGTTGACAGGTCTCTAAATCAAAAGGAATTCAGTGGACTTGGGTATACCCTCTTTCTTCCAGTTCCATAGGTACTAAAAGTGAAAAGGGGTGGGAAATGCTCATCTAAACCTCCCTTTACCTTAATCCCATGAGATCATGACTGAGGTCTGCCTCTCTGTTTTTCAGCCAACAACTACATGGAATCGAAGTGTCAGGCTATCATCCAAGAACTGCGTAAGTGTTGTGCTCAATATCCCAAGGGAAGATCTCTCGTCTGTTCAGGATTTGAAAAAGAAGAGGAAGAAAACCTGACATTGAAGTCTACATCAAAGTAAAGTTCTGCTGACAAGTTAAATGCTGCTCCATGTTTCCACCAAGCAAGTTTTATTTATCCTCCTGACTTTCTTCAGGCCAGGTAGCAGCAAATAGCAAATGAAAAAGTCAGCTATAAAAGTTAATGAATATGCCATCTATGCAGAACAGACAGAAATATATTTTAAAAACAAATATGTAGAATGCAATAAAACTGAGCTGCTAAAATAAACCTGTTTAAATGAAAAATTTTGGTTTGGTACTAAATGTATTTTAAGGCTATTGGATATATAGGTATTAGTAAATTCTCTTTAGCATTTGAGCTCAGACAACTAGTGCCATTTATAGAATTTAAGTCATATGAGGTATGTTGGGTGAAAGGACTCACCCCTACAGCCTCACGATTGTGATGCCTTTCATAGATTACATGCTAAATTCAAAGGTTCTTTTAACCTAATTCGATGGCTGTTGTACTTCCAGTAACACAGCGAAGTGTCTATCCAGATGCCACTGAGAGTATTTTTGTCTGCTTTTGCATCTCCACCGCAGTGCATAACCAGAAAGAGGTGCTTAATATTTGTCCAATCAGTGATAGTAAAGGCATAGAAATGATTGTGATGTTTAATGATCCCTAATTTATCACGAAGGAACCGAAGAAAAAAATTCCATTGGAAGTCAGGCAGGCAGCAACAGTTAAAATTCTTAGGTGGTTTATCTATTCTTTATATCCTTATAATCAGAACCTATCACAGTGGATCTGGACAACATTAATACAGGCTGCTGAAGAATGCCTGTTGACAGCTGTCACTTTATGGAGTAGGGGGAGGCAGTATCCAACAAGCCATTTGCTTTCCTCAAACACGTGCTAGATCCACCATTGCCTCTCCCACCAAAAAGAAAAATGACTTTCAGAGTAAAAGCAGGAACAAATTCTCATAGATCTCTGATGTTCAAACACTATTATTTGAGGCCAACTGTTTTCTTGAAAGCATTTCCCAAAGTGGTTTTAAGAATTGTTCCCTCTGTAAGTCCAACGCACCACTGTGGTCTTTCTCTCCTTCCTTCTTTCTCTTAGCTCCCACTTATGAGTGAGCACATGCGGTATTTGTCTCTCTGCTTTGCTTATCTCAGTCAACATAAGTTTCTCCAGGCTCATCCATGTTGTTGTAAATGGGACAATTTCATTCTTTTTTATGGCAGAGTAGGATTCCATGGTGTATATATACCACAGTCTCCTTATCCAATCATCCATCGATGGACATTTAGGCGGGTTCCATGTCTTAGCTAATCTGGCCTTCACATCTTGGGCACAAGGGGTGACAATCAGCTCTGTATCTCAGGAATATTCATAAACAATAAAAAAAAATTGCGATAGGAAAAATAAGGCTTCTGTGGTCAGATAAGTTTGGGGAATGCTAGGTTAGACACAAGTGAACAGATTTCTTTCCTGTCAGACTTCAGAACTTGTCTTATACTAATGTAATTATGATTCTTCAGAAAGGACTATTGTATGCAATCTTTGCCAAAGTTCTCCAGAGAGAATGTTCTCCAGAGAGATGTGGAGAAATGCTGCCTTAAAAATAAAGTTTGGTCCACAAACCACAGTAACATTGCTAAATTCCCACGAAATCACTTTAAATGAACTCTTGTGTTAATAGTAAAACAGTGAAACATTTTACATCATCTACAAATCTAAATATTTACAATTATCAATAGTGGCGCTAGGATTTATGGTAGGAATCACTACAGGATCATATAGATTGCTTTTCTGTGTTTTATTACAAAATTATTTTTATTAAATGAACTACTCAAGTTTAAGACTTTTAATTTTTTTCCTAAGAATACCTTAGCCTCACATATAAAATTTAGGTATAAAAAAATTCCAAGGTGTGCTTTTTCATTTAGACTTTCAAAAGCTTTGAATCAATTTTTCCTTCCTTAAGCTGTCCTGCTTCAGTTTGAGCCAACAGATCTATTGGAAGACTTTGATTTAAGTTGTATTCTCCTTAGCTGTTATTATGACATGCAGAAAAACAAAATAGCCATCAGAGAAGGCTTAACATTTACTGAGTGCTTTTTATGAGTTAGAGACCGAGATTAACACTAAATCTGTCTTCGGGAAAGAACTCTAGGAAGGTGAGAACTATGATCTCATCCCCTTTTATTTTTTTTCCTTTTTGTCTTTTTTCGTGACCGGCAACGGATCGCAACCCTCAGTGTCGCGCCCGTACCGGACCGGGACTGGCAACGGGATCGCAACCCTCGGTGCGCACCTCGCTCAGCCAGTGAGCGGCCGGTCTGTATGTGGGATCCGAACCCTCGGCAGGAGCGCCACCGCACTCCCAAGCGGCGCACTGTAGCAGTGCGCCACCAGGCCGGCCCCTCATCCCCTCTTTTAGAAACAAAAAGCCTCTAAGTTGGCTGTCAGTGATGCCAAGTTTAATCACTTGGCTGATGACTAACAGACCTCTTAGCTGGAAAGGTAGTTTTCCCCTTTTGTAATGGATAAGTCATTTGTGGGTGATACTTTGGCTCCATTCTGTCACAGTGCTACAAATCCCTTGCATCCACTCCACACAATTCCTAAAACGTTTAATAACATGTAATATTACACTGTGTTCAGTATCCAGACGGCATCTGAAGTCGTATGGGACTTAATTTAAAAGGCTTTAAAGTCCTGTTAAGTAGTCACTTGTTAATAGCAGAACTATAGTTTTATTAGCACAGCTTCCAAATCTGTACTACAGTGGTTCTCAATGTTGGCTGCTTGTTAGAAACATCTGAGATATTTTAAAACCTCAGGCTGCCCAATAGCACTGCAGACCTGAGAAATCAGAATCTCTAGGACGGGACCGGGTTTCAGTAGTTTTTAAAATTCCACAGGCAATTCCCATGCACCAGCAAGGATGGAACCACTGCTTTCAGTAATTTCTTACCATTTTAAAATTCCAAAAGGGAGGTAGACAGTTTTGGCAAGTCAATAAGCTGATTTTCCACTTTATAAAAATGTGAAAAAGTGCAACACTGTCAGTTTTCTTTAGAAAAATAGTGTTCTTAAAATTCATTATCCCTTAAGTATAAAAGCATCACAGATGTAAGCCATACCATATTTTTTGGGCAATCAGGTCCCGAACTAAAATAGATTTTCTGCCCAATTCTCCAAGAGATCACATTAATGTTGTGTAAGTGATTAATTGGGCAGAAAATCTGTTTTAGTTCTGGACGTGATTTCCCAAAAATCACACTGGACTTCATGATAGGGAAATGAAACTGATAATTTGGTGGAGGAAGCTGAGAAGGCAGCAGCCTAATTTCCCTATAGAGTCCAAAACTGGCCATAAGCAAGCTTCCCTCAGAGAAGAAGCTGAGATCATACAAAGACATTGATGATACCCAGAAATTTGAAATCCATCCCTAGATCATTTTTTCAAGCAGAGATTTATTATATTTTCTCAAACTGTACAAAAGTAGAGGCTTCAAATAAGAGCCCAACCATTACTTATGCCCATCTTTTTGGCAAATGTCAAACAAAAGGATGATGGAGAGGACATTCTTAAAATAGTTAACTACACAGTAACTCTCCCTTTCAAAACCACAGGCACCCACCCTAAGCACGTGTTAGCTAGAATTATGTAAGAGTTCATTTCTTGTAGAATCCAGTCCTCCAACGTGAATCACGTCTGGTCTTCTGCCAACATCCATGAAACAGTAACTGCCCAGATCCAGTAGCAATGGCTCTCACCCAAGTGGTGGGGTTAAGACCCCCGACTGTCCTGTTAATGAAAGTCTGAGGCTGAGTGGGAGAAGGTGAGTCCTGATAGGATGTTATCACAATGACAATGACACTCATGACAATGGGGTTGTTCAAGCAGGGGGTACCCTGAGCTCAAACAGGGTCAGCAATGAGGATACAGGGCCTTGGACAGACTGAAAACGTGGGAGTCCACCTGTCGAGACAGAGTGATCAGACGCCTGAAAAGAAAGGGGTGCTGGGTCAAAGGTTTGCCCAGTGGTGAGGATGCTGGGTGGAGTTGCAGTGGCCAAAGATGGGACGGAATGGGCCCCTATGCAGGGGCACTGTCCAGACACTGCAGGGTGCAGGAGGGGAAGGGCACAGGCCATGGGGCGATGGGCTTTCACTATACAGGTGCCATCCAGTTGGTTGATAAGTCAGAAGCCCCGAGTACAGTGTTACTACATCTCTGCCAGCAGGGGGCACCAAAACCCCAGGCACATTCAAAGCCATGTTTCTCAGGACTGGACACATTGGCAACGCTCAATCCCTCTGTCAGTCAAGGAAAAACTTCAACCCCACCACCACTAAAATGGAGGCCCGGCACGTTATTCAACTCTGGGTACTGGAGAAATGCATCCCTCGCTAAACAGGTCTAACTAGTCAAATGAAAATAGTGCATTCAAGGGTGCAGCTGGCAGACCCTTCTATCATCTTAGTTTTGCATGAAGGGTGGCAGCTGTTCTTTTGGGGGAAACATTATCTCCCACTTCATCACCTGAAGCAAAGCTGCTGGCACAATGGGGTCTCGCTTGATTCAGAGGTTCCTCTAAATGCCTGAGCCTACTTCACTGATGGTTCAGCTAAACTGAAACCCAAGGTCTGCACCGATGCAATTGTTCAGTCTCAGCACCAGCTTGGCACAATCACAAGTGGTTGTGGTAGCCCCACTCTGTGGGCAGAACTCAAGGCCATTCTCATAGTAGCAGGATGAAGCCAACCTGCAATAGTAACCTCAACCACACCACTCACAGTCCCAGCAGCAGCCAGCTGGGAATAAACTTCAGGAGGGGCCTATAAATTTTATTTCAGACAACCAGGATAGGGTCTGAGGCCAGACTATTATCTATTACACCTGCTCAAGGCAAGTTTAGACCAACCTGTAATCTTTGCTGCCCTTGTTAATAATCACAGGGAAAAGAGATGGACCAAATAGCAACCCTTACCCCACTGGAGAGGCATTGGGTGGCCGCTGTCCCCCACATGCAACCCAAAGGGGCACAGGGTACTTCAGTCAGCTTTTGCTGTAAGCATTCCACTGGTGTCGGTAAGTCACATAGGTAGAGTTAAGTGGCTGCAGACATGATCACCATACAAGGCATAACCCAGAGACCCAGGCATCAGAAGCAGAATGTAAGGAACTAGGAAACAGATGACTCAATGTCGTCAATAAATATACTGCGAAGGTAGAGGGAGGACCTATAAGACTGAGACTTAAGAGACAGATCA